ACTTCAGTTGTGGTGTGTAGGTCAGCATGAGGAGTTTTGGGGACTGCTGGTCTGAGGCGGCTGTCCTGTGCACTCTCCCAGGCAGAAAAGGACTCCAAGGAGGAGATCCTGAAGGCTTTCCGGCTGTTCGACGATGACGAGACGGGAAAGATCTCCTTCCGCAACCTGAAGAGAGTAGCGAAGGAGCTGGGAGAGAACCTGACTGACGAGGAGCTGCAGGTCAGAGACGCACTTTTCTTGGTTGTGTGCGCAGGCAGTCGGGGGATGAAGATAAGAGCGCTTTGTCTTTTTCTTGTTTCAAGTAAAACCTGTAAACCTTAAGATGAACTCCAATATGAAACAGCACATTAACATACCAGTACGTTTTTAGATTGGGGGGGACAACAGAACACCCAGAGGAAATCCACATGAACATGCAAACTCCACACAGACAGTACCCAAAGGTCCAGAGCTGAATGCAGGGGCCCACCACTGCGAGGCTGTGTAGTGTATGCACGCTGCCAGGGTCTCGCTGATGCCTGTCTCTCTTTGCAGGAGATGATTGACGAGGCGGACCGAGACGGAGATGGGGAGGTGAACGAGCAGGAGTTCCTGCGCATCATGAAGAAGACCAGCTTGTACTGAGAGTATGGTGGCCTGGAGAGCATCACTGATAACCCCTTGACAGGGTTATTTCTCATTCTCCAGTAGGATGTATTGTTCTCCTGAGATAAGATGGCATAGCGTATGTGAGCCTGTTTAACAGCACATCTTGAAATTGTTTTGTTCTCATCACATTTTGGACCAGTTTGGTTAGCTGATTAAATCCCTCAGAATTTCATTATGAAACAAGGTTAATTGTTGATAAGGTGATGCTTTAATTGATGTGCTGATCACCTTACTTAGAACTGGATCACTGCAGATAGGCAAGTTCCTGTATATCAGTCTCTGGTCTTAAGGGTTAAAGACTCATGTTTTTTTGGACAAACCAAAATCAATTATTGATCATTTGTGCTTAAATCAGATTCTGTATTATTTGTAGGGACCACAAATCTAATCAGGTTTCTTCCAGCTAAATTATAAGAATACGGATTGGCAAAAAAGCAGAAACCTTTGCCTTTGGATCATTCAACACTTCTCTGCAGTTCCCAACTCCCCCAGCTGAGAGTGGTATCTGATTTGTGATGTGCCATTGTGTTCTGTTTCTCTTGTTTGTGTACCTTGGTCCTTACTGTATATAGTGTTTCCTACAACTGTGTGTTCTGTCGTGTATTTAAATATAAAACAAATAAACAAATGTTTTAATTTCAAGCAAACAGCAAGATCACCAATATGTGAAAGCAAAGGGCTCCAACAGTTCGCAGTGCTCCAGCAACTGAGACAGCCCAATACTCGTTTTGCCTTAAGCTAAACAAACGGAAAAGATGTAAATGAAAAGATCAATGGCTCTGTAAGACGAGCACAGTGGAGAATGTCTACAGGTCCTTATTCTCCCCCACTGCACTGTGTGAAAAAAGTAAAAACCTGGCAATTGTGAAAGGCTGTATATAACAAACGGTTGATTCCAGAGCAGATCAAAACAAAAGCGGGAAGATTTAGCAGCCTCTTAAAACAACTCGTCCTTTTGATTGTATGCTTTCCCCAAAGGTGACTCTTAAAGCACCTTGTATCGTAAAAACCCTGTACGATACCAAGGACAGAGAAGGATATTTTAACATGAGACAGTGTGTGATACACCTTGACAGACAGGTAATCAAATCCAAGTGCAGAATACAGATCGGAAAGCCTGCCAAAGACTGGAATCCAAGGACCACAAACGCAACAGGCAGGTGTACAGGGAGTGAACACATCACTGACAAAGTCATTCAAGCCCTTAAAGATGAGCAGCATTATTTTGAATTTTATTCTAAAACGCAGTGAGTGCAGCCAGTCTAAAACCAGCAATACATGCTTATTAACTGGTTAAAATCTGAGCAGCTGGGGTCCGAACATGTTGCAACCTCAGAACTTGTTTGGATATACCAGCAAATACATTATAAAAATTGAGCTTAGAAAAAACTAAAAGGTATAGGCTTTTCTGGATCAAAGTGGGGGAGAGGTGTGGCTACGATAGTGATAACTATCATAACTCCGTCATAACTGGCTACGATAGTGATAACTATCATAACTCCGTCATAACTGCAAACGTGAGTTAAAAGCTGAAATAAAACACATACTTGTGAAAGTGGGTTCACTGTCAAGTATAGGATATCCTCCCTACACAAACCCAACATCTACATCTTTTCTCAAATCATTAATGAGACATCATCAGTTAGCATCTCAAAGTAGCTCAAGATGAAAAAAGATTAAGATCTGGAAACAAGAGAAAATGGAGATTAAAGAAATAACATTCAAAGCCTTGAACGGCCTCTCCCCAGCCCAAACAAATAATCAGTAACACAGCTCTGAATTTCTAAATTTAAAAAATTGAGATCTTTATTGGAGTTCAACACTACTAAAATGTACAGAGACACATCTAAGAGTTATCCGTTCCCAATAGGAACAGGCCAACAATAAGAACACTCATAAGAACAGACATCACATAATTTGACAGAACCTACAGTTTACATTCATAACAACAATATTATTGATCTACATGAAATCAAAACCTCTTTCCCTTCGAGTGCTTCAGGACAATGGTTCCGTTTCGCTCCTGGATCAGTTGTTACAGACGGCAACAATGCATCATGGTGGCTTTGCACTTTTTGAAAGCAATGTTTCGCTGGAAAACTCAAACTGTTTGCAACTACTGCTGTAGTTTAACTCCCAGTTTTGACCGTATGCTCACTGTAGCTGCTGAAGTATTATCTGGGATTTCTTGGCAGTCACTAGAGGCAGAATATCAAAAAAGTAACCTGCACTTAATTCTTGATGCAAGTCACAGACTTGTTAGCAATAATGACCCAAGTGCAAACTAACTCATAGGTTTCAGAATTCATGCAGGGGTGGACATATTGTTATATGGAGCAGAATTGCTGCATTGCTACAAGACAGGATACTAAACATTTTCAACTCACTCCATGCTGCACTCTGTATAGAGCTGAATTTGTAAACTGTGTTCTCCTTAGGAGCTACTGAAGTGCATTAGGACCAGCTGACTGGCAGAGGTATGGTGTGTGTGTATCCAGCTACCGTGAACACTAGGCTCTAGAGCAGGGGTAGGCACCTACAAGACCTCGAGTGCTGGGTTTTCTGCAGGGTCTAGAACAAGGATGTCAGAAACTTCCTGGACAGCTAAGTGTCTTCTGGTTTTTCGTCAAACCTGTGCAGTCAGTCAATTAAACACTTATTTTCTTAATTGGACATAAAAAGGATTTTTCTTCAAGTCTTTTACAGGTGATTACTGAAAATAATGCACTCCAATGAATGTACAGTTACCTATAAGACTTATTTTCAGGGTGGAAGGTTTAACAGTTAAATGTCTGATAGACCAGACTAGGATGGAATAAAATCCAGAAGACACTGGCTCCTCCATGAACTGAGTTTGATGCCCCTTTCTAGACGTACATTTCAATTAGCACCACATTGAAACCTGTAAACCAGTTCATCTGACTTTTTAATTAGCTCAATCAAACCATTGCGCTCCGAGATGGAATGTAAACCAGAGGTAAATGGAGCACTGGAGGACTGAAATTGATTACCCCTGCCCTGGAGCAAAGATGTGCTGCCCCCTGTACTGTGTGACGAGTACTTTCAGCACAGAATGGGAACAGTTGGGTTAGTTAAGACCTGAATTCCCCAGTTTGCCAATTCTTCTTTGGACTAACAGAATTAAAAAGGCAGGACTGTTAACCCACTAGTGGCACCTCCTGTCCTGCAGTCCTGACAACGTTAACTTCCGTCCAAGCAGCATAATCTGTCTACTGCAGACTCCTGGAGTTAACGCTATATTTCACAGTTTAAAAACAAGGCTGGATTTCAAAAGCACTGACTAATGCCAACACTGTTTGCGTCCAGCTTGCGCGTCTTATGTGCGCGTGTTGCAGGGTTGGCGTTGTCTCACGTGCTCGGGGCCGCAGGGGTCAGCAAGCCGCGTCTTGGCAAAGTCGGCGCTGAGTTTTCGCATGACCTCCGCGTGACCCTGCCCCTGCAGCTCCTGCCGCACTGTCCCATAATGCTCCTTCACGAAGGTGGCGAAGGGGGTGGCGCCTCTGGACTTGGCGGGAGTCAGCAGCACCAGCTGACCGGTACAGAGCGCGCACACAAACTTCTGCGTGTCCAGCGACTTGGAGTGCCGGCCAACCCTTTGGAAAGGGGGGAGGGGGCAATAAAAGATGGCAGATGGAGACAGAGGAAAAGAGAGAGAGAGAGAGGAAGAGAGAGAGAGCAAGGAACAAGAGAGAAAGGTACGTTAGGAATCCTAACCTTGTCCATGTGAAATATTGCTCAAAGCTGGACACACAGTGAGCATAGAGATAAATGTTCTGCTAGTGGAGTCGTGGAAACGTAGACGTCCCGACGGGCAGACGGACTCACGTGTTCTTGCACCGGCTGCACTGGTACTGGTACTTGTAGTTGATGTCATAACTGTGGCAGCGGGTGACCACGGGCAGCTCAGGGTGTACCACAGTGGCCTTGCGGGCATACATCTTCCAGAACTGGCCGTGACCGTCGCGCACGCCGTTGATCATCCAGGTGGCCGCGTGGCACATCTCGTGGACCAGGGTGTCCCTCAGGCGCTCTGGGGGGGACAAGCAGGCAGTCAGAGGGGCTTCCCTTCCCTACTGCCCAGGGGCATCCATGAACCCTGGACATCTCGCACCTCTGTGCGCAAACCTGGCCTTAATCAGGTCAGTTTATTTGTCATTTGCACAGGTCCAATGACATGCCAATGTGAGGACTTGAACCCGGACCCTCACTGACTGCAGACCAGCGCGCTACACGACGAGCCCCAGTGCTGTGCTCAGACCAGCCGCCCCCACCTCCAGCCCTCAGTCCTGACTGCACCCCACCCCCACACCTCCAGCCTTACAAACCGCAGGGGTCACCGGAGCGCTGGGAATTATCCCGAAGAGCTCTGGACTGGACTGACGGGAACCCTGCTTTCCCTCGGCACGCTGCGGGCACCAGCATGCAGGGAGACCCGAAAGTCACAGGTTCTCGGAAAACCTGGAGCAGATAAGAGCATGTTGGCAGAAGCCCTCCGGCAGCCTGCAGTACCTGCAGAGTCGCAGACTTTCTCGGAGAGCTCGATTCGGGCGTAGCGCTGGCCCTGCTGCTGTCCCGTTACGCAGTACCCCGCCGTCTTCCGCATCTTCTTATTCCAGATGACCGACATGGCGGGGAGCTGGGGGAACAGAGAGGATTCACAGTCCCTAACTGCCAGGAGTCGTGCATGTATTGATTACCCCATTTCAATTGACCGGGACCAACAAAACCTTTCACTATTTTTAAAGAAAGCATTTCCTTCCCCCACCATGGAGAACAGAACAATTTAAGAATTATTAAGCAGCTGTTCTGTGAAGTTCTAAGAACAGCAAAACCCCACTGCTACAAGACTCTGGTAAAAAAAGGAAATGGGACCATTTTAATTTATTTTAGAAAGTTAAGTAAAGTAACATATTGCATTTTAAATGTTATTAAAATTTCTGCGTATTGAAGTAGTATTACAGGTAACTGCCCCCAGCACTGGCGAGAGTGTACAGTATGCTCCGTCTCTGCAGGGTCACCTTGCTGTCGAACACAGTGCTGTTGTAGAGCTGATACAGTTTTTGGCTCAGCTCCTGCCGGGTCTGCTTGAAGCCCCTGACATAGGAGGAACGGGGGTCGGACAGGGACTCCAGGAAACAGCCAGGGGTCTTGCACAGCACTATTCTGAAACACACAAATACAGCCCTGCCACCTGATTCCTGAAACACGCACATAAAACACGCTTCCACTGAGCTCCGAGACAGCAGGACCTCACACCTGGAGAGAGTAAACAGGGCTGCTAAAGTAATATCCCCTTCCCCTCCCAAAAAATAACCCAATTTCCAAGAATCCCACAGGACTTTTGCACAAGTGATAAATGTCCGTCTACTGCAGGATCACGTTTCAGATGCTGCACAAGGCCAAGCACACTCCGATTTATTAATTTGTCAATCTTGCCCCAGTTTTGTGCTAAGTGTCCTGCTGCATGAGTCACCTCTAAGTTAAGGTTGCCCTACGGCACCACAATCTGTTTGGGGAGTTTTGTGGTTTAAATAAGAGACGCGATGCCTGCCCCTTCGTTCGGTACCTTTTGCTGTTAGCTGCCCGGGGCTCGGTCTGGCTCACTACAGGGCGCTTGACCGTCGGGTGCACTGGGGTCACCTCAAGCTGTGCCGCCCTCTCCGCTGGCCGACTCCCCTGGCCTCCTGCGGGTGGCAAGGAGAGACAGGGCTTGGGCTCTGAAGAAAGAAGGTGGGGGGAGGGGAGAGGTGATCAGGAGACATACAGGAAAACGCCTCGTCATCATGCTAAAAGATAAGCGTGGTTACAGAAAGGTAAGGACAGAGGAAGCAAGACAGACCCATTGGACACTTTTGGAGACCAGCACTGCTGCAAGCGCCACAGGCAGTGATGGAGACGTGGGGACGCGGAGCAGTGGTGCAGGAACCCACCCTTGCTGGCTGCAGGCGGGGTGTGTGTGCTGCCGACTCCTACGCCGCGGTTCTTCCTGATCCTCGCCAGCAGAGATTCAAACTCCTCGTTGGAGCTGTCCGAGCTGTCGAGGCGGGGCGGCTGGGCCGTCTCGCTCTGCGCCCTCCTGGAGGGGGCGGGAGCGGAGGGCGTGGACTTGGGCTTCACCGCCTGCTGCTGCTGCTGCTCCTCCTCCTCTAGCCCCGCGGAGTTGAGGCGCTGAGGCACCCCGCCTTTCCGAGAGCCCCAGGTGATCCGGCCTGCCCCGCCCTCGTCATCGCTGTCGCTGAGGAAGATGGGACGCTCCCTCCAGGAAGGGGGGCGTCTCGCGGCGGGCTGGCTGGCCGGGGTACGCCGGTGCCCTGCATCAGACAAACAATTATCGACTAAATCAGAGACAGGGCCAGTCGTCCCGAACTAGTGGCACTTTCTAAAACTTGCTGCAGTAACAGCACAGAAAAAAATAACTTATTGCAGAAACAAAAATCGGCCAACCCACAACCCACTTCCCTTTCCATAGAAACAAAAGCAGCAAATTTGAAGAAATATGTCAGAATGAACCCTGTGAAGCCCAATGCAGTGATGCTAACTAGCCATCCTCCCTTCTGAGCCTCCCCAGAGGGCTTGTGGAAAGAGTTCTGGCTCACCTCTGATATGGGGCAGCTTCTTCTTCTCCGTGACGAAGTCATCCCCCGAGGAGCCGTCGCTGACGATGAAGTGTTGCAGACTGCCCGCAGTTGGGTTTTTTTAAATGCAACACAAAAATCAAAAAGGGAAACGCCACACAATGACTTGACAAGCACAGACAAAAAGCCATCCAGACTCTTGGAAACTAAGTGCAAGAAAGGCACGTGATCTTTGAACTCCCCATAGTTCATGCTGGAGGTCTCTGGAGCTCACTGGATTCCAAGTCCTATGGGCTGCCTTCTACAACACTAAACGCCATGTCAAGTTCGTTCATGCTTTTCTTCTTAATATGGACATGCTGAAGTTCTATAGCATCACGCCCATTTTTTCAGGAGGTTAATTCAGGATTTCCTGCACCAGGTTCAATGTTTTTTTTCCTTCTGTAAAACTGGGAATTTTGTTGCTCTTAACAGAAAAAGCCCAGCTCGGCATGGCAGGAAGTGCTTCTTGAACTGGGCCCGGACACAGGAGAACAACACCTTACCACAGCGTAGCCACTGACCCGGAAGAGCAGCTGCCTCACCTATTGTCACTGCTGCCCCCCAGTAAAACCGAGGACTTTGGCTTGGGTGTCTGCAGACGGCTCAGGACTGCAGAAAAACACAGACAGACCAAGACTGGAGATGCAGGCTGACTGGTGTTGCTCTTCACACTGGCAGACAACAATCTACTTAGCTCAGGGAGAAAGAGTCCACCCGAATGATAATCAGACTACATTGTTTTGTAGCTGGATCTCTTTCAGGTCTTCCTGCCAACAGGTGCTTTTACGAATTGCATTCAAGTAGTAGAAAAGCAAAAAACAGCAGATATAACTAATTAAATAAGGCATGTATAACTGTGTCAGTGCATGTGCCCTCTTATACAAGTCATGGCACTTCCTCTGAAATCTAGAGGATGTAAAACACTGACACCACAGAGGACCAGTCTTTTTGCATGGCGGAGTTATCCTCTGTCCAGGGAATGTTGCTTTGCAAGCTTGTAGCCCTTGAGCAACAGGGATCTAATCCCAGCGGGAGGAGAGAGAACAGTACTCTTGACACATGGATTACCCAACATCTGGCTTGCATACTGTACAGAAGGCTGTAAGCACACGAAAGCTCAAGTGGACAAAACAGGAGTTATCGCTCTGCTTTTTGGGTGAAAAAATGTTTGCGTTCTGCATTTTCTCACGCCAGCTGGATTTTCCAATCGTTTATGTTTGGGCTTATAGCAATGGCTCCCGAACTGCACGGGGAGAACAGGAGCTAGCAGAGCTCTTCATCTTTTGTAACACTCTGCATGTTTAATAATGCCAACAGGAGAAAAGTCAGGTGTCCTACTGGCATCGCGTCCAGGAAACCCGAGGAAGCACCATTTTGCCGAGAGCCAGGAAGACTCCAGGTGAATCCTGAGCACCACTAACTGGAGAATCCCAGTTTCGGCCAGAAAACATCTGGGCATTAGACCTCAATGTACACTTGACAGATCTACTTGGGAGCTCAGTGCCCTTGAATTCTTATGAGCAAATTTTCCACCTTGGAAAGACCCCAGACAGCACCACCATCATACTCACAGTCCTCAAAGCTGCCATCGCTGCCAGAGCTCAGCACCTGCTCACTGGGGCTACAAGGAGATGGAGAGAGAACAGTGAGAGAGCAGGTTCATTTCTCCATCACAGCACTAACAGATTCCCACTCATGGGCTCTCCTGTAGTCTGAGCCAGGCCTCAACACGAGGTGTTCAGTTTACTGTGGAAGATGGGGCACCAGC